ATCTTTAAATAAAACAATAATTAACCTTGGTAATCTAAAGTCAGTTAATTAGGCTGACCAAAATGACTGTCATTTGACTTTACTCTACTCCATATGCAAAAGGTCTGTATCGTCAAAAATGGAATTTTATTTTGACTTGAACCAATCGAGACTAGGAACGAAGTTAGAAACGAAGTCATGCATGTCCAAGTGCTTTTGAAGGTACTTCAAGTTAGATTTTTAGTGCACATTATAATTTACCAAAAAATTTATTAACAGCCTTTACAAACCTTTAAGTAGTATGTTAAATAATATCAGCCTATTTCGTTAACCTGAGGAGGGACTTTTAGCTCAATTTTCCCACATTTATATGAGTAGTCAGCATTGCGCCATCTTTAGCGCACAGCTACAACTTATCATCGGCTTTAGCTTGATTCGGGGGCACTTCTGCTCTGTGATTACGTAAAGCACAAGGTGCTGTACCAAGTGATAATAATGCATGGCTTAAAGCACGAAGCGTCTTTTTGGAGAAAATCAGAGGTTGACTGGAAAGCGAAGTTTGTTTGCCGGAACAAGACTCCGTAAACAAGACTCTCAAAAATGGTTACCATGATTAGCGTCTGCCAGTCTGACATGTAAGCCTCGTCTACGTGTCGGCAGAGACAGAAGCGAGCCTGCAGAACATAGACCACCGGGCCATGTCTGTCCGTTGAGAAGCCACTTACGGGCTCCAGTTCAGTGGAAGCAGAGCCATCGCGGTCTGAGTCGTCCCGCTCATCATCCAAGAGAGATTCTTTGCGTGGACTCGTCCAGTCTATAGAGACCGCTTCACTGCCATCGTCCGGCCGACGAACTGGTTGAGGCCGGAGTTTTCGGGTTAAAGAAGGAGTAGATTCATTGAATACGGGCTGAAAAAAAGGAGAAGTCAAAAACATAATACAATGAAGGTATGAAGACGAGGTGTGCTCCTCCAGGTTTTCAGGCCAATATGGCCAAGTTACGAAAACAAGCTTCAAAAATTAATATAAAATAATCAATTTCATATTCACGGAAGGGAGAAGACAAAGTGAAGAAGGCAAATGAATACATCGAGTGGTTAAAGAGGCTGTATTTTAGAACTTGATCAAGGAAATAATTTAATATATAATAGAAATTGGTTGACCACATGCTCTCAACTTGCTCTTGTTGTCAGGGTAACTATGTAGAACGCGCCTAGTCCGAAGTCGTCTGCCATAGTAGTTGTCATGATTCCCAGCATCAGACAGTGGACT